CAAAAAACAATTTAAAACAATATATATATATATACTAGAACCCTCGCGCGCGCTTCGCGCGCGCTCAGGTTCCAGCCCAGGCCGGGGGGGCGCTGGACGATGTTGGACGTCGCTATCAAGCACAGGCGTGCGACGGCATCTGAGGAGCTTCTGGGGTGTTCCGCATGCTTCGTCAACTGGCTGTTGGAGGCACCTCTTGGGTGCTTCTTGGGGGGGCGTCTGAGGGTCCCTTGGGGGCATCGGTTCTGCAATCTGAAGCCGTCATTGGCCGTCTTGGCTGCGTGGAGGCCCGACTTGAGGCCACCTGCGGCCAGATTGAGGCAATCCGGAAGCCTCCCGGGGGGCTCCTGGAAGCAGTTTTGACGCATCTCGGGCACTCTTGGGCTATTTAAAAAATCTTGGACGTCTCCTAGGGGCCTTTTGGGCCCTCGGGAAGCTTTTGGCGTCCTCGTCGGACCACTTGAGGGCCTCTTGCGGCCTCCTGTGGGTCTTTTGGGGGGAACGCTCTGCTGTTGGGTCGCGTTCCCCTTCTTGGGCCTCTCTTGGGGCTCTTGGGGCCCTCTCGGGCCGTCTTGGGCGCCTCAAGCACCGTCTTGGGGCCCTCGCGGGCCCTCTTGGAGGCCTCTTCCTCTATATTGGAGCGGTATTGGAAGCATCTTGGGCCGTCTTGGAGCATCGGGATGCCAAAGGCCGAAAAAATTGAAACCCGTCAAAGCCCAATCGCAAAACAATGAGTTGTGCCTCTTGGGGCCTCCTTGGGAGATCTCTTGGAACCTCGTCGGCCCTCTTGGGAGCTTCTTGGGGGCCTCTTGGATCCGATTGGGGGCCTCTTGGGACTTCCCGAGAACCTCTCGGAGTAGAAAGCTCGGATTCTCGGTTCGTGCTTCCCTTCTTGGGCCTCTCTTGGGGCCGTCTTGGGCCCCTCTCGGGCCGTCTTGGGCGCCTCAGGCATCGCCTTGGGGCCCTCGTGGGCCGCCCAGGACCCTCTTGGAAGCCTCTTCGGCTATCTTGGAGCTGTCTTGGAGACCTCTTCCTCCTCCTCGTCCCCGTCCTCCTCCTCCTCCTCCCACTCCAGCTCTCTTTCCTCCTGATCTTCCTCCTCCTCCTGCAGCGTGTTCCGGAAGGCTCCCGCCGGAACATGCTGTGCACAAGTGCTGTCACTGCTCCCGCCACCGTGCCCTGGGTGGTGGGTCAGAGGCCTCATGGGTGTTGGTTTGGATCTCGTGGTTGGCCTGTCGGGGACGTCGTGAAGGCAGTTTCGCAGCTTCTCGGTAGCCGTTTTGGGACCGTTGTGGGGCCTCCTCGGGGCTGTTTTGTGGCCTCTTTAAGCCTCGTTTGGGCCTCCTGGGTGCCTCTTGGGGGCCTCCCGGGGCCTCTTGGGGGCTCCTTGGGGCCTCCTGGGGCACTCTTCAAGCGGGAGGGTCGAATTTTGGAGTCGTGGTCCCCGTCTTGGGGCCGTCTTGGGGCTCTGTTGGGCTGTCTTGGGCGACTCTGGGGCCGTCTTGGGGCCCTCTTGGGCCGTCTTGGGGCGCTCTTGGGGGCCTATTGAGCCGTCTTGGAACGTCGGACAGCCGAAAAGGCTGGAAGGCCAAAATCGTTCGAAAACCTTCGTAAAATTGACGATTTCGGCCTCTTGAAGCGCTCTGGAGAGGCGTCTTGAAGCGTCGTGGAGTGCCTTGGGGAGCCTCTCGGGCCGTCTTGGGCCTATCTTGGGCGTCCCGAACCGGTCTTTCGGCGACTCGGGGCCCGCTTGGGCCGTCTTGGGAGCCTCTGGAGGCCCTCCTGGACTATTTTGGACCTCCCCGGCCGCCCCGTCCTCCCATGGGGGGTCGGAGGCGGCGGCCTCGGAGGCCCAGGACGCGGAAACCCTTTTAAAAACACAAGGAAAATGATCCCCGGTACCCCCATGGAGGGTCGGGGCAAGTGTTTTCGGGCACCGGGCCTCCTGGGTGCCTCTTGTGGGTCTCCTGGGGCCTCTTGGGGCCCCTTTGGGGCCTCCCTGGGCCGTGGAGGCGGGAGGCTTGAATTTCGGGTTCGCGGTTCACCTCTTGGGGCCCTCTTGGGGCCGTCTTGAGGCCCTCTTGGAAGCCTCTTGGGCTGTCTTGGGGCGTCCGCGGAGGGCCTTTGAGCCGTCGTGGAGCGTCGGAAAGCTGAAAAGGCGGGAAAGGCAAAATGTGTCCAAAACCTTAGTAAAATAAACGATTTTGGCCTCTTGGGGCCCTCTGGGGGGGCCTCTTGGAGCGTCTTGGGGGCCTCTTTGGCCGTCTTGGGCTTATCTTGGGCATTTTGGGGCCCTCTTGGCGCCCTCTTGGGCCTCTTGGGGCCTGCTGGGCCTGTCGTGGAGCGCTCTTGGGGCACTCTCGGGCCGCCTGGGCTGCTCCAGGGAGGCTCCAGGCCCCCCCCGTCCCGCCATGGGGGGTCGAGGCACCCGTCCTGGGGCCCCCAGCCTCGCCCCCAGGTATATCTACACACACACACCTGGGCAACACAACACGGAGTTTCAACAAAAGCGTGCGCGCGCGCTCTTGCGTCGTCGTCGTCGTCGTCGCCGTCCGCGCTCCTCCCTTGTCGTCGTCGTCATCGTCGCCTACGTCGTCCTCTGTCTTTCCTCGTGTTCGTCGTCGTCGTCCTCTTTGGCGTCGTGGTCGTTTCCGTCGTCGTTGTCGCCGTGGTCGTCCTTCCTCCTCCTCCCTCGTTGTCGTCGTCGTCCGTCGTCGGCGTCTCGTCGTCGTCCTTCTATTTCGTCGCCGTCGTCGTCGTCGTCGTTGTCGTCGTCGTCGTCTTCCCTTCTCCCTCGTCGTTGTCGTCGTCGGCGTCGCCGTCCATCCTCTTTCTTCGTCGTTCGCGTCGTCGCCGTCCTCCCTCCTCCCTCATCGTTGTCGTCGTTGTCGTCGTTGTCGCCGTCGTCGTCCTCCCTCCTCCCTCGTCGTCGTTTTCGTTGGCGACGTCGTCGTCGTCTTCGTCGTCGTCGTCGGCGTCGGCGTCGTCGTCGTCTTCGTCGTCGTCGTCGACGTCGGCGTCGTCGTCCGTCGCCGCCGTCGTCGTCGTCGTCGTCGGCGTCGTTGACGTCGTAGTCGTCGTCGGTGTCGTCGTTGTCGTCGTCGTCGGCGTCGTCATCGTCGTCGTCGTTGTCATCGTCGTCGTCGTCGTCGGCGTCGGCGTCGTCGTCGTCGGTGTCGTCGTCGTCGTCGTCGTTGTCGGCGTCGTCGAAGTCGTTGGAGACGTCGTTGGTGTCGTCGTAGTCGTTGTCGGCGGCGCCGTCGCCGTCGTTGTCGCTGTCGTCGTCGGCGTCCCTGTCGTTGCTAGGTGCCATGTGGTACCCACCGTCACGGTCTTAAGAGGTTTTGCAAACCAAGTTGCGGGTGGGTGGGTGGGATGTTTGCGCGAGCAGTGGAGGTGGTCAAGCGCGATGCAGGGTAGTCAATTCTCCTTTCTGAAAACAAAATACGATCTACCCCCCCCCGGCGTTATCGTTTCACCTTTCGGGCATGTAAATCATATGCGATTCTGACCACATGTCCATCCTAAATATGAATTTGCACTGTCCCCGGGGGGCCGGTATCCCCCCCCTGAGGTTCCCTTCTAAAAAACACTATGCGATGTTTTCTGCTCTAACATAACACTTGTTTCGCAAACCCCTTGCAAAAAATGGGACGAAGTGCACAAGCGCGCGTCGTCGCGCGCGCATGCCGAAATCCTTCAAAAACCTTCGGTGCCGCAAGGGGTTCGTAATCGAGTTTCCAAAAAACATACGAAAACACAGGGTTTCGCAACACTGATTTGCTAAAAAAGTTTCCGCGCGAGCTCTTGCGAAAGCTTAAGAAAACCATCGGTTTTTCAAGATTTTCACAAAATGCTATTAAACGCGCTTCGCGCGCGCGCATGTCGAAATCTGTCGAACGCCTTTGCGCGTGTGCCGTCGCGAGAATCCTCTGCAAAAACAAAAAAGTGCAGACGCGCGCGTCGTCGCGCGCGTATGCCGAAATCCTTCAAAATCGTGTCTGCAAAAAACCTACGAAAACCCAAGGTTTCGCAACACGGATTTTCAGCAAAAGCGTGCGCGCGCGCTCCTGCGTCGTCGTCGTCGTCGTCGCCGTCCTCCCTCCTCCCGCGTCGTCGTCGTCGCCTACGTCGTCCTCTGTCTTTCCTCGTGTTCGTCGTCGTCGTCCTCGTTGGCGTCGTGGTCGTTTCCGTCGTCGTTGTCGCCGTGGTCGTCCTTCCTCATCCTCCCTCGTCGTCGTCGTCGTCCGTCGTCGACGTCTCGTCGTCGTCCCTCCTATTTGGTCACCGTCGTCGTCGTCGTCGTCGTCGTTGTCGTCGTTGTCGTCATCGTCGTCGTTTTCCTTCCTCCCTCGTCGTTGTCGTCGTCGGCGTCGCCGTCCTTCCTCCTTCTTCGTCGTTCGCGTCGTCGCCGTCCTCCCTCCTCCCTCGTCGTTGTCGTCGTTGTCGTCGTTGTCGCCGTCGTCGTCCTCCCTCCTCCCTCGTCGTCGTCTTCGTTGGCGATGTCGTTGTCGTCGTCGTCGTTGTCTTCGTCGCCGTCGTCGTCGGCGTCGTCGTCGTCGGCGTCGTCGTCGTCGTTGTCGTCGTTGTCGTCGGCGTCGTCGTCGTCGGTGTCGTCGTCGTCGTGGTCGCTGTCGTCGTCGAAGTCGTTGGAGACGTCATCGGTGTCGTCGTCGGTGTCGGCGGCGCCGTCGTCGTCGTCGTCGCTGTCGTCGTCGGCGTCGGTGTCGTGGCCAAGTGCCATCTGGTACCCACTGTCACGGTCTTGTCTTAAGAGGTCTTGCGACCAAGTTGCGGGTGGGAGGGTGGGATGTTTGCACGAGCAGTGGAGAGGACAGCTTCAAGTTGAGCAGGTGATTGAGTGCACACCATAGATTGTTCCATATATAGAGCGTACACCATATACTGCTAGAAACACTCGCGCTTTCCCTCGCCCTTTCCCTCGCGCTGACCGCCCCTCGACTGCGCCGCCCGCCGCGGGCGGAAGGGGCCGCGGCGGC